GGAGTGGGTGTGGAGTAGAGGTGTGAGAGAGGGTATGGTAGGGGGGAGTGGGTGTTTTGGGGGGGTACAGTGGAGGGCTGGAGGTGTGTGTGGGAGGGTGTCAGTGTGTTGGAGGTGGGTGTAAAGAGGTGTGGGGTAGGGATGTATGGTTGGGGTGGGAGTGTGTAGGTGTGTTGGGGGCATGATGGGGCTGGGGTGTATAGGAGGGTGTGGGTCCTCAGAGTCCCTGGATCCGTACGTGGTGGCAGCGAGCAGGACCAGCCCTGACCGACCCCACAGCCCCGACAGACCCCACCCAGCCCAACAGTGCTCCCGCCTAAGTCCCCAGCTGTATGCAGTGGCAGCATGTGAAGCCAGCTCCACCCAGCCCCATAGCATGTGGCAGCTCCTGCGCTCCCACCTCAGCCCCTGGCTGCATGCGGTGGCAGGGTGTGGGGCCAGCTCCACCTGGCTCCATAGTGTGCAGTTCCCCGTGCTCCTGCTGCGTGCAGGGCCAGCCCAACCTCGCCCCACAGCACACGGCTCCCTGTGCACCCACCCCCTCCTCCAACGGTGGTCCTTGGCCCTGGTCGGGTGTGGTCCTTACCTGAATTCCCACTCGCAGGCAGGGAGCCTGGGAACAGGCAGGGGGTGGTCAGGCAAAAGCCTCTGCCAGACAGAAGCTTCTTGTCTCTAATGCCCCCTGGCTCAGGGCTGGGACAGGTCAGGCTAGGGTAAGGTGGGGTGGCTGCTTAGCAACCAGAGCCATACCTCCTGCATGGTGGCACCAGCTTGTAGAGCGACAGTGAGGGCCAGGGCTTACGGAGGGGCCTCGCAGGCTGGATGGAATTACCTGGTGGGCTGCATCCGTCCAACAGGCCATATTTAGCCTGCTCCTGGCTTAAGTGCATAGCATCGTTCAGCCCCTACTGTCTGCTTCCCTGTACACCCTGATTATAGTTTCATAGTTTCTAGGGCTGGAAGGGACCCAAGTAGATCATCTAGTCCAAACCCCCTGCCATGGCAGGAAAGATTACTGGGGTCAAACGACCCCAGCAAGGTGTTCATCTAACCTCCTCTTAAAGACCCCCAGGGTAGGGGCCAGTACCACCTCTCTTGGAAGTTGGTTCCAGACCCTAGCCGCCCTGACCATGAAGTCGCGCCTCCTGATATCTAGCCTAAATCTACCCTCTGCCAGCTTGTGACCATTATTCCTGGTCACTCCTGGCAGTGCTCAGGGGAACAGGGACTTCCCCAAT